GAGACCGAGCTGAAGCAGTCGGTCTCTTCCATCTACAGGCACATCGCGTGCCGAAGCGCTCGAAACGCTTGTGCTGGAGATTACTCTCATGCGGCGTGTTCGGCGTGCACACCCCCTGTTCTGTACAGACCCTGTGCTGGGTATTGCATGTTGGTTCTTTCTGCAGGGATCCAGGGAAGTCTCCCATTTACCCACCGCGAAGATGCAAAAAACTGTTACTTCCCTTAGAAACGAAAGAAAGATAGCGTTTAAAGCAAACAGAAAACATGTTTAAATTGAACTTCGATGTGTTCCGTTTGTTCCGTGTTCTTTTGAAATGGCTCCATCGGCATCGGCTCCCGTCCTCAGGGAGCTTCTTCAAGTTGCGCCTCGAAGGCCGGAATTGTGGGCGGAGTGGACTGGGCTGAGTCGTTTTTCGTGGCATCGTTCAAGGCCTTTCCAACAGGTATAGCAAGGACGCTACGATCGGGGCTCCTGGCCTTACTACTAGGAACAAGGACGCTACTAGGAGCAAAGGGCATCGCTACTAGGAGCGATCGGACTCTACCAGGTGGAGAAAACACTGTGTGTTTTTTTTCCTGTTGTACTCTTAGACCTTTCCTTTCTTTTTCTTCGTTAGACCAGTCGTTGAAGAGGCTAGGCATTGAGCTTGTCCGAAGGAAGAAAAAGGTCTCAACCTCCAATTGGAGCATTTTATCCAGGGTCTTACACAGCCAAAAATGACAGAGGAGATCCTAAAATCTCTCGTTTGAGATTCACACTCCCAATCAGAAGGTCATTTCGCAGAGCTGTGCAGGCCACCACAGCTCAAGAAGATCTTGCGGGAACCGCCCACCGTCAATAGCCCCAGCTGTAACGATGAAAGAAGACAATCGGGTGATGTCAGCTTGATGGCGCGTTTGCGGCTTCTTGTTTGATGTGGGTGCTCAAACAATGCCGTCCAGCATAAGACCCAGCCATGAAGCCTGGATAACACCTGCCATGCTCCATGGCCATCAAAATCTAATACCTAGAAACCGTTTGGACCATGCGGTATTCCCTTCTGCCTGATTTTCCCTTGCGCACCTGCCTACCCCTGAAGAGCAAAAAAGTTCAATGCTGGCTGAGGTTGCCTCGTTCTGCAACATCGAGGAAGAGCTCCCCACAGAGGACTAGCCGCGGCTCATCCGGCAATTTCACTGACGCAACAGAGCGTGCTGACATGCCGAAGATTCAGAAAGAAGCGACTTAAACTAATGACGAAGCAGAGTGCATAAAGCAAACAGTTTTTGTTGCTCATTGGCATGAGAAGAGGCTTGTTTGCCGTGTTATAAGGTTTTGATGAGACGTTCTTGGTCAGGAAGATATCCGGGAGACAGAGAGACAACAGCTACTCCGTGATTCAGAGCAAACCAAGGTGGACGGATGGACCCTGGCTTGAGAGACACCACGACTTCCACTTGCAAATGTGTAAAGGTCAGGTTCCTCTTTGAAAGATACGGTCCTCGGCTTTTCGAGGGACACAAAGTAAGTATCCGAATAGAGCTAATGCAAGTTGGTTTCGAAATCAGAACTGCTTCCTGAAGCTCTGACCCTCAGTCAATGTGATCCAAAAGACATGCACATGTGTTTTGTATGATTGGACTGCGGACTGCCAGGCCCTGTCCATCGTCGCGAAGAAGCTGTCGGACTCTCAGGGCGCCGGCATCGGAACCATCGGTTCGGGTGACCGGTTCGAGCGCTCGGGAGCTCTCCGGGTGCCTCAGTGACCCTCACTGATGCTGAGGATGGAGGGAAAACTCATGCTGAGGATGTATTCTGCAAGCGAAATGGCTTCGCGAAATGGCTTGACATGTAAACTTCCCCGAGCACTCCGAACGGTCTCATTTTATGGTGTTGAAAGACGCTACTGGAGCTCGATGTTGAAAGACTGCTGTTCCACACTCATTTTCTGTCATGTGCGTCACCTCATCTTGGCACTTAAGGCTCAGTGAAACAAAGATCCCGGTGAACGCGCGCATCGTGGTGGTGGGTGCCAGCGACTGCGGGCTGTTGCAGCCTTAAGCATCCGGGCGTTGTCAGGTCCGACCGGAATATGTGATGGACCACGGTACTTGTTGGGCTAGACTAGTCATGAAAGTCTGAGGTATCCTGCTTGAATTTGATTCCAAAGTCAAAGAGATAGATGTTGACGAGGAAAGCATAGTCTTTGCAGCGCCTGGAAGACTGCAGAATCAGATCGAATTGGGGATTGAGAGGATCAGTTTCGAAGTCTGAGGTCATTCCTCGAGAGTTTGCTGAGCATCCCACATCTCCTGTTCAACTCCCTAACACTCCTGGCCTCGGTCCCAGCGTCGATGGTCATCAACTTGTTGAGATTAACCCAAATGGATGCCATGGATGATGAGAGGAGATGATGTGTGCGAAACCAACGTTGGTATTTTGATGTGACGGAGAGTTCTTCCTTGTGTTCGGTGGTCTAGAAGATCGAATACATTCCACTACCATCTTGGACGTGTATCGCTGCTCTTTGCTTTGCGAAGCGCGATGCGGCTTGCAAAGAGGCTCCTGGTGGATTGGAGTATCACCATGCCCATCACTTGCCGCTCGTTGCAGGCATGTGAATGAACATCACAACTACCAGCAAATTCAATGCAGGGGCAACACCAAAGCATTGATGCTTTTCATCCATGCTGCTTTTGCAGAAGGACAGCAATAAATGGAACAATTGGCAGCAAATAGCGTGCTTTGTACATCGTTGAGGCTGATGTCTAGAAACATCATGAAACATCCAAAAAGGAATTTGAGCAAGCCTGGCCTGACGCATCTTCCACCCTGCAGGCACAGCCGCCTACTCTCACCAAGAGCTGCGAAGGATTATGCTGGAGCTCAGGCAAGGGAGATTCCCAGAAAAACGGAATGGTCTAAGAGTCTTGTTACATGGTAGTCTCTGCTTCAAATGGCTACACCTTGGACTAACCCTGTGATCGACCTGTGTCAAGGTGCACTGTGACACCCTCTCACATGACACAAGTGCGCTGAGTGCAACAAAAGCTCACATGTCAGGGTAAGGATCCTGGATAGCCGCATGGTACACATCGACCGGCAGCAGAAGTGCTGCATCTTGCACGATGGCCGAAGCCTAAACTCGGATCAAAACAGACGAGCTCGGTACAAGAAGTCCAACCCCTCAAACTGGAAGGAGTGGAATTTCCAGAGTTCTCTTACTCATCCAATCGGAACTTCGCACAGTTGCACCGGCCGGACTATAATGTGCCCCAAAAAACGAGTCTTCACACTGGAAAGGGCAATCAAGATTGCATGGCTGATGCAGCTCAGGGAGGTAACCTCTTAAGGTGCTGTGAAATCTGAGAGTTGCACAATCTTTCTTCCTTGCCCCAGACATCTCTTTTAATGTATATTATAGACCTGTAGACTGTTACACCAGCTTTGACATCAGACTCTTAGGTTCCATGTTGCCCTACGACTACTTGGTCGTGGCTACAGGAGGGGCAAGCGTGGGAGAAGAAGTGTCGAATCTGAAAAGTCCATGAACTGCGTTTGAAGTTTGACACTTCCAAGTCAGTGACTGGTCACCAGGACTGGGTTACGATGTCCGACACACTAAAAAACGAAGGAATCTTGGCGTTCTGTGCTCAAAGGAATAGACCTGATATTTTTTGTGAGAACGCGATGTCGCCGGTCTCATGATGGTGTTGTTGTCAAAACAAGGAATGGATCTTTGGGCTGTCAGCCACAGAAGTCCTAGCTGAACAGGTCTGCAAGATGATGCGTTGCATGCATTGAAGATTCAGTCCATGGGGGTCACTTGGCTTGAGTGTATCTGTTGGCAGGGTGAAAGGGAGTCTTCGAATTGTTTGGTTCAGAGATTGCTGCCTCCCCGTTGATTTCCTGATGTTCCAATCCCATTTGGCAGTGCCAGTTGCCATTGGGAACCGAAATCTCTCAAATATGTCCTCAGGTGAACGGGTTCTCAAAATATAGTTGCTGCGATGGACTCCAAATTCCGGCTCCTTCCTGGAGTCATTTTAAACAGTCTACGAAGAGATAACACGTGAAGTCTTTACAATCAAGCCGAAGGAAAGGAACAACGAAAGGTCCAAGCACTTCTTTTAACATGTAGACAGAAGAGCTATGGTCTTGCTTGACCTCAACCACGCGTGCTAAAGGGTTTTTGTCTAGGACTTAACTACCCCTTCTACTCTTTATAAAGTTATGCATCTTTGAAACTGAATGCTTTATGAACAACATTTAGGTTGGACTTGCCTTGCTTTTTTTTGCTTACTGTCTTTCTTCTTCACTTCTTACCAGCAAATCCCTTTCTTCTCCCCTTCCTAAACATGATACGAATTGATAGGACTTCAAATATGCCACCCAAGTCACGATGCCTTGATTTGCCCATTCATCACTTGAGGTGGAACATGTCACCGACGGCTACCGGCGGGTGAATGGTGCGATGAGCGCAGCGGACCCTTCAATCCGAGATTTGTGGTGGCCTCAAAAGGTGGAGGGGCAAGTAATTGCAATTCTAATTAAATTCTTATTGTTACTACTAGTAAGGCACTTGTTACTACTAGTAAGGCACTTGTTATTACGAGTAAGGCACTTGTTACTAGTAGCGATGCACTTGTTCCTGGACAAAAGAGGAGACAAGAAGTGACTCAAAGGGACGCAAGAAGTTGATCGAACGAAAGGGAAATGGATCAAAGGATATCAATAGAATTCATCATTTACCTCAATGACCATTTGTCCAGCCATGGGATGGACCCAGAAACACGATCTCATCGCAGTTCTTCGAAGTCCTCTTCCGGTCTGCTTAGGCTGGTGGAAGGGGGCACCTTAGTGAAGTCCTTGATTTGGAATCCGCTCTCCTACGCCGTGGTCTGGGGGACCCAGATGAGATGCCTCGCGTTTGCGGCTTCTCAACAAAGGATGTTTGGAGAAGCTATGCATGCAGATGAAGCATAGCTTTCGACCCATTTTTGTGGACCCTTTCGACCATGCACACAGGCCAACGACTGCCAGTAGATGATGCAGAGCCAATAGCCAACGGACGCTACAGCGATTTTTGCTTTCCTCGTTGGACACCTCATCATTCGTTTGCGCCACCGACCGCCATTGCCGTACACCGCGAAGGTTTACGGCCGCTCACTGAACGCCTACTGCGTGGTGCAGGGCTTGTTGCTCCGCAAGGCGCGGATGGAGCCGCAATGAGAGACGCGTGGTCAAAATGAACCTTGTGCAATACTAATTCGGTCACTAGGCATGTTAAAGCTAGTCAGGGACTCAAGTGTTGTTTTTTCACCCTTGAAGGTGTCATAAGGTTTCTAAGTGACTATGAACACCATTCGTTCGAACTTGTCAGAGTGTACCAACCCATGGGTTTGCCACTCCCTCCGCCATGAATCTGGCTACAGGTGCCCGCGAAAAAGATCATTTTGGCGATGACCTGAGATCCAGCCCCGATTCGGATCCATCGGCGGTTTCCAGCAGCAAAGGACCAAAAAGAAGACCTACTGGTAGTAATGCACTTGTTACTAGTAGCTTCTTGCTACTAGTAGTAATGGGCCTCCAACCTACTTGCGATGGCCTCCACCTAATAGCTATGAGAATTCATTGTTTGTGTGCGTTGAAAATGTGACTCGTCTCCCTTCTTTCAGGTCTTGCCACCAAGGTTGCAGGAGACCGGTCTTGCCGGGCAGATGGAAAGGGTCCGGCTTTCTGTTGAGCGGTGTGAGAGACGCTTTCAGTTCGATGGCGTCGGTGGAATTCGGCCATTTCTTGGCCACAGAACTGACCTGCCATGATCCAGGTTCTTAAGCAGCTGAACTTGGATGCAAGTCTCAACAGTACAACCTTTAAGATGTTAACTATATTATTTTGCCTTTCTTCTGTCCTTCCTGTCTTGGTTCGTTCTTCCGTGTGCTGCACACATCAAGACTGATCCATGTGCAGGAGTCACAGCAAGGCCTCTCTGTGGACGCGTTCTTTGAGGCGGCGTTTTTTCGTCAAGACCAAAGTCACTGGTGCTGTTGCATTGTTTTCGAAGCTCTCTTGGCGATCAGACATAGTGGTGTTTGGACGATCGATCAGCCATGATTTATCGATGTTGTTGATGTTGTCGTGTCCTTGCAAGGAAGCAACCTCAGCAAAGCTGTGTTTAACCTGCTTGAAGCTTGCTTGGCCACTGTGGGTTGGTCCTTTTGTCAGGGGCAAACCTGTAAGGCCTCACAGACCTGACACAAACCTGAACCGTTTCAGGGGTGTTTTGTTCCGGGACTTCTTCAGCCGCAGGGAGATGAAGTCGAGAAGAAGATTCACCACATCTTGGAGACGATGGGCTTGAAGGACAGAGATCGACGGAGAGCGGTGTGGTAACGGTCCTCCCGTTGACATTGGAAGAAGAGGGGGTTCCGCAGAAAAATAGACGCAGGCTCAACGTGTTTTGACATCCAGCACCCGCGTCTGTGTGCCCTGCAGCTATATAAACATATATATTATCCAATTGTCCTAGGTACTATGTCAAATTGGACAGCACAAGGTTTAAAGACATCAGGTCCACGAGTGTTTTTTGACCACCTTGCAGGTCTATGAAGGCTATCGCCTGCTTGGCATTCAGCAGTGCACTCGTGGACGGCTAAAGGGCCTTGTCTTCGAGGACCACAATGGTGGGCGGGGAGCTGAGTGGGGACGCGAGTGCAGTTTGCGGTTGCACTGGGGCAAAGCCTGCGGATGTGAGCAGAAACTCTAAAGAAGAGAAGGCGATCCCTTTAGAAAGTCACAGCGCACTCAGGGCTGTGGTGCCACTGCCTCCAGAAGACACTGCAGAGCGTGAGCAAGAGAAGAGGACCGGGAAGCCAGGTCTTGTAATGTGCCAATCACGAACGAGACAGTAGCAAGGCAAGTGCCTTACTACTAATAACAAGAAGCTAGTCGAAACAAGAATTAGTAATTAGAATTTAATTAGAATCAAATTAAAATTAGTAGTAAAGAAGGCTACTAGGACCTTTTCGCGCGCCCGCGCGCGCGGGGGGAGGGGTAGGAGCAAGGACACTACTAGTAGCTCCTGGCATTACTACTAGTGACAAGAAGCTACTAGTAACAAAGGGCATCGCTACGAACGGAGCGATCCGACGCTGCGCCGCTACGTGTTGTTCTTTCATTTTTGCCCAAGTCAACTGCTTCAAGTGTCTAAAGGCTCGACCCTTTTCGGCCTTGACTCCGAGTCTCAAAGGAGTCTCAAAGAGCGAAAGCAATTGTAGAGAAAAGAACAGAAATGCGAAAAGAACGCTCGCAGGTTCCCAGCACCAGAAGCCGCGCGAGCTCCGATGGGCATTTTGGAGGAGAGAAATGGATCGCAAGTCGTTGTTGATGTAGGGCCTAAGAAAGGGGTAAAGCTGATGAACTTCAAAGCTGCATAGCTGGATCGAATCATAGCAGATCGTTTTGGCTACGGTAGTAAGAAAGTGTGGACCTGAAACAGGAAAAACGGGAAAATAAGTATAGCAAATCCATCAAGGGACATCACTGTTTTCAGTACTTTTCATAGCGTTGCATCTCCCAATTGGGTTGTAAGCTGATCCGTTCGAATCGTCAACGTGTTTAGGACTTTGGAGCGAGCCCTTCCAACTTGCCACAGAAGGCGGATCTGTGACGAGAGGAGTTCCGAGCTGTTCTTCAATGATTACTACTAGCGTCCTTGTTACTACTAGTAAGGCCCTTGCTAGTAGCTTCTTGTTACTACTAGTAAGGCACTTGTTGCTAGAAGCGATGCACTTGTTCCTACTAGCGTCCTTGTTACTACCAGTAAGGCACTTGTTACTAGAAGCGATGCACTTGTTCCTAGTAGCTTCTTGTGAATCATTGGAAGAATCATTTGAGGCAATGGCTTTTGTGACCTTGTGATTATTTATGCTAGGTTGGAGGTCATCGCTAGTAGGTAGGCCTTGGGAGCACAACCAGACTACCCTCAAGAATTCATGACAATCATCAGATTCCACCAAAACTTCCAAGGACAGGTGCGACCCACATTTGCAACCCAAAACACTCGAGCAGGCTATTGCTTCTAGGATGTCTTTGCAATTCTCCTCTCCTCCTCTGACCCTCTTTTGATTTATTCCTGGTTGGCACATGACATCCTGTGTGAGCTACGCAGAACTTCCACCTGTGAAATGAAACCATGCCATTCCAAGACGATCTGTGCCTGCCCAGCTTTTGGCCTGCCGCATTTGCATCACTGCGGACGCGGTGAACGTGGACCCGGACATCTTCAACTCGGCGCCGCGGCTGAACGGGCGACCCCACGGAAGACAGTGATAGTAACAAGAAGCTACTAGGTGGAGGCCATCGCTATTAGGTTGGAATAGCTTCTTGTTACTACTAGTAAGGCACTTGTTACTAGAAGCGATGCACTTGTTCCTAGTAGCATCCTTGTTACTAGCAACACAACTTCGGGATCCAAATGTGTCGACCGGGAGATGTGCTCCGCTTCAGTAGTCAGCTTGGAGGATCTTCTCAGAGGGTCAAGAACTTGCTCCAGACTCCATACCGTTGAACCTTTCCAGTCAGATGATACGACTTGACTTGATATTGCATAAATCACCATCTCATCGAACATGTTGCCTGTGGTGAGAGGTCGAACAGAAACAGCTCCAAGAAATGGGAAATACTGTAGTGTCCATATCAAACACATGGAAAAAAGCGTTCAACTGGTTGAGAGTCCCATGATGTCCCATGTTCTTCACAAAGCAGATAAACGTCACGAAAAGATGATAGGGTGTTTCGTGGCCAGCCCTGTCGTGTGCCCAAGAGACCGCCTGACAGGTCTTGTGGATGTGAGTTTCCGCAAGACGTTCTTTCAGACCGTTTGTAGCGATGCCCTTTGCTCCTAGTAGCGAACATTGCTCCTAGTAGTAAGGCCAGGAGCTACTAGTAGCGTCCTTACTCCTAGTAGCGATGCCCTTTGTTGCTAGTAGCTTCTTGTTACTACTAGTGAGGCACTTGTTACTAGAAGCGATGCACTTGTTACTAGTAGCTTCTTGTTACTATGCCTTTGAACTTTGGACTCTTTCTTTCTTCCCGTTTTCTCGTCATGGTGCGTTGAGGTGCATGGCAACGGATTGGTGTACGATGGCCGGCTGATTGTGGACCATCATTTTGGCACAACAGATCCCGGGATCTATGGAGTGGGGAAGCTCAGCAAGGGGTCGCGGTCGATGTTATCGCCGTGGCAAGAACTGATCGATTCATCTCTCAAAGCTAGTGATGAACCGACCATGGTAAGTTGGGTCTCAGGTGGAGCGGAACCTTGAAGAAACCTGAATCTTTGTAGTTTCTTTAACTTAATGCGAGCGCTTCTTCAAGGAAGCTCCCCCCGCCACCTTCAGTTGCTAGAAGCTTAGAAGTAGTTAGGAGCGAACTTCTCCCTTAATTAAGCAAGGAGGCAGGGCCACAGGCTGGAACGAAAGGAACAAAGAATAAGGTAACTTGGAATCGGTTTCGGCACTTTTGGCACTTTTGACCTGAGAAGATCCCTCCCTCGCGGAACGAACGACCCCACTAAGGCGGGATCCCTTTGCGAGTTCAGCCGGCGATTCCAGCGGCAGAACTCGTGCGCCTGGCAATGTTGCTCATTATAAAAGCTTGGCAAATGCAAACGTGTGTGTGTGTGTTTATTGGTTGTTCTGTGTTTAAGCAAACGTGTTTCTTAAGTTGTTGGGTACTGTTGGCGAAGGAGATTGCGGTGCCAAGTGATTCGTGTGGATGGATCATATCAATAGACTACTGCTTGCGATTGGGGTGTCGGTCAAGGGGCATGACAGTGTCAGGCGCTACCTCCGCCATGATGGCTTCAATGGACGGGAGGCTGTTGACATGGCTGTGAAGCACCGGAATGTCGGTGAGATCATTGGTGAGATCATGTACTGCACTTGAGTCCAGACACAATGGTCCAAGTCAGTATGCTCCAAGCACAGTCAGTATGGCCCTCATGTGCTTCCTCACAGCCCACGCCAAGCAGCGTCGTAGTGTTCGCTTGAAGCGACGAAGTTCATGAACCCTCTCTCTTCATGTTGGAGCAACATACAAAACAAGAAACGCAGGATACCTGATCAACCCCAAGAACCCTTTTCCAAGGCCGTTTGATGTTTGACAAGTTTACCCCGTGTCCTAAAAACACAGCGGAGGTTGGTGCCAAGTTGGCTGGCGCACTCCTGAAGCGTTTAGATCCTGTTGGGCACCCAGCTTCCTTCGCTTGCAAACACCTACCCTTTTGAAGGGTTCTTCATCAGGGACTGCTGGTCTGAGCTACCTGGTGGACCAGGTCCTGCTACTGCTGCTGCTGCTCCTGCTCCTGCTCCTGCTCCGGCTCCTGCTCCGGCTCCTCCTCTACTCCTACTCTACTCCTACTCCTACTCCTCCTACTCCTACTCCTACTGCTACTACTACTACTGCTGCTACTACTACTACTACTACTTCTTGCAAGATGTGTATTCCAAAGCAGTCTGGAAAACGCAAACTCCTTGATCTCCAGCACGTCCCAGGTGAACGGCGACAGCGTGGCTGCTGGCGGGCCGGCGATGGCCACGCCGGAGTGCCCAGAGAGATCGAGATCGGTGACGCAAAAAGCCTTTCTTCGGTAGTAAGGCATGGTGTACTAAGTAAGGTACTGTAGTCTAAAACTCTTGAGTTTGGTGTAGTGTAGTGCGATGTCTATTTCCCTAAACGACGATACAGAGAAATAAGGTAAAGTAGTGTTGAGTGGTAGTTGAGGTCATGGCGGCGTAGCAGAAGTGCAAATGCCTTTGGCCGTTTGACCTTTCGTGTTTTCTTCCCTTTCCAAGTAGAGTTCTTGTTCGAAGAAGCTGTAACCTGGTCAGAGAGCCGCTGCTCCCAGGCAAGAGCAGCTGAGCGCTTCCATGCTGTCGACCTGGCGCCTTTGGTTGGGTGAACGCCGAAGGTATGGATGGTGACTAAGAAGTTCCGTGTTGGGTACTGCCTTGTTTTTTGTGATTTAAGCACCGCAGCCGCAGTTTGTGTGCAATTACAATGCTTATTTGGCCAGGACAGCCACAGAAGAGGAGCGGATCAGCTTGACACAATCACAGAGCTTGTTTGACTAGGATCATCAATGCATCAGTGCATCAGCACCAGTTATATCAAATCCTATAGGTGGGAGGTATCCAAGCTTTCGTTGCAACAACCCTGGCTATTGTGAAGTGTTTTACAAAATGGCTAACTCATAGTCCTCCGAGGAGTCCTCGCCAGATTTGTTGCCGGAGTTCTACATGCTTGGCACTCAGATGTCGATGTTTGATCGCCAAAGAATTATTGGTTTGTTCTTCGATGTTTGTCGCGTCTTGTGGTTCCGTCACTGTCACTGCAGCATACTTCGGTGCCTTTGTTGCCACGTGTGGGCGAGCGATTGTGTCACTAGGCCTATCGCCAAGGGTGGGCTTTTGCCGGGCTCCTTGCATTACTATCGCGCGGGAGCACAAATCGGGGGGAATGAGGTTGAGACTCCATTCGGTGCCGAAGAATGAACTCCTAGTAGCTTATTGTTTCTAATAGCTTCTTGTTACTACTAGTAAGGCACCTGTTACTACTAGCGTGGCACTTGTTTCTAATAGCTTCTTGTTACTACTAGTCTCAAGAACCACTGAAGAATCTGAAATGTCAGCTTGAACGGACCCGCCAGTCTGCCTATTTCGGAGAAAGTGATACAGACTGAGACTCGATCAGATCATCACAGATAGAAAAAACAAAACAAGAAAAAGCATCTCGTTGACTTCCACTTAAACTTTGACTTTTGCGCCTGACAACACTACACTGTCTTCTCCAGGCATCCACGCTTGCAGAAGAGGCGATGTGCAGGCCGGGTCGATGAAATGCAGTCTTTTGCGAGACGAACGAGCTGAGACTGGCACCTGTCACTTGTGAGTCAAGGGAGACGTTCTGCAGTGACAAGTGCTTCACACGATGGAGCTGATAAAAACAAAGTGACATGACATGCTGTACGGATCTTTACCCAGAACATCCGAGAACCCTGGAAGAGCTCTTGGATCGGTATCCCACAGAGCTGATGGATTTGTCAGGAAGAACAGAGTGACAAAGATGAGCAAGTGATTGCAGGGTTCTCAGGGCATCTCGCCAACCTTCGGCAATGTGTGCGGACCATCGGATGTACTTTGCCGTTGCTGTTCTCCCAAATCCTTACTAGTAGTAGTAGTAGTAGTAAAAGGCTATTAGAAACAAGTGCCACGCTAGTAGTAACAAGTGCATCGCTAGTAGTAACAAGTGCCTTACTAGTAGTAACAAGAAGCTTATTCTTTAGACGACTCGACGTTTAGAAACTGTACTGAAAACCCCTTCCTGTCCTGACTGTTGTGCCAGTGAGAAAGCAGAAAGAACGGCGTGAGTGGTAAGTCTGTCTCACTCACTACAAACAATGCTGTTTGATTGCTACTAGGAACAAGAAGCTACTAGGAACAAGTGCATCACTAGTAGTAACAAGTGCCTTACTAGTAGTAACAAGAAACTAGTAGAAACTATTAGAACAATGCTGTTTGATTGCTTAGGTCACAGATACCCTGGACCTGACCAATGGCACAGGGCATTTCTGTGGGAGGCTGAGGAAAGGAAAGGAAGCATTCCTTCAACCGTTTTGGATGCGTGGTTTGTTCAAGGAAATAGCGATGGCCTCCGACCTATATTGAAGGATTCGTCAAGTTGAATTTCTTGTGTTATGTCATCACTCAAGAAGCGTTTGCTTCAGGTCGCCTGACCTTGGATCGCTTTGGAAAGGTGGATTCAATCACTTATTTAGGCTGGAGTGCTGCAAGTTGCTGCGTTTGGCCCAAAAATGAATAGGACAAATGCGCCAAATCAACGTGAGCATCTGCTTTGGCAGTAGTCCATGTCGGATCATCCACCTGCTGAGTGCCAGAGACGGTACAAGGGCACAGATTGGTGGAAGACGCAAATCCCGTCAACAGGTGGCGAGGCACTACAGGTGGAATCCCTGTGGAGCTCCTTGGCAAGAGCAACGGCCGTCCACTCTAGTCATTCCGTCACTATGCAGAGGAGAGAATAAGTTAGTGAATGGGTTCTCAATCTACTATGAGCTAATTAAGTGTCATCTCATTAGCGTTGAGGTCACGCGTGGACATGATGGCAAGAGAGAAAGCTGAGGGGACGACTGGGACAGAGATTCATCCACCTTTTCGACCAGAGCGTGAGAGGCCATGGACTTTTAGCCGAGGCTTAGTCGGTCTCAGCGAGACCTTCCTGAATTATCTCTACCAGAGATGGAGGCTGAAGAACTCGGAAGCATGTTGGAAACGTGCAGAGAAAGCGAGAACTAAACGTGATAAGTATGTCACGGACAAGGTAGGGCTATGACATGCTATCGTTGAAGATGTGTGTTGCCTTCCAGCAGACCGGAAGGAAACTGCAGTAGACAGTAGAACCATTTTGAGTCTCCAGTAGGTCGGGTTCATCATGTGCCTTTCTTGGAGACCAAAACTCGGCTCACGTCTGAAGTGAAAGGCTCCAAGTGTCAGACTTCAAAAGATTTACATCCACTCAGGGACGACGATATCCCCGACATCGTCGAGTGCACCTGGCATGTGTTGGGAGGGACATAGGTTTTAGATAGTTTTAGAACACATTTGCCGTACACGAGTGGCTAAGTTGGAGTGTGTTGTTTTGGTTTCATGAACCATTCACCCTGCATGTATGGCCAAAGGAATCCCAATCGATTCAAAAAACATACATGTTGCTTTCGGTGTGACTGTTTGAAAACACTGTTGAAAGGGCTGTTTTCTGAACGAGAACGCGTTTGACTCTTTGAAAGGCCTTTAGAAGGTGCAGTGCAGTGCGGTGTTAGGTTCTTGGCTGATGAATGGGCCACTGCGCTCTTCCATGATCGCTTCATGGACTTCTGCCACTTGGCGCCACTGCGCTCGATCTCGCAAGTTTCCAACTCTCACCCCATCCACTTCTCACTATGAGGCTCCTGGCATCGCTACTAGGAGCAAGGACACTACTAGGGGCTCCTGGCCTTACTAGGAGCAAAAGGACCCTACTAGTAACAAGTTCTCACTATGAAGTACTCATGTCGAAAAATCACGGTCACCTTGGACCATCCATGTGGTCATCTTCGGATCGTTCCATGTTGGTCACCTGTGGACCGGATGTGTGCTAAGGCCATCAGATCAAGCTGGAAATGCTGGCATCAGAAGAGGCGTCCACTTCCCTCCTAGAACCCTGCATTCCGCTAGATTTCTTAGACCAAAGTTGATGAACATCCCGTTGTCTTTGTAATCCATGTCGCACCCGATGTGTCAAAAAGAAAACATGTTCTCCATGTCGCAGATCGTTGAGCCACCTGCCTCACCTGCCATTTCTCGCAAGGTGAAACAGCTCATCAACAAAGCTCTTGAGGGCGTCGACGTGAAGGAGGGCTTATCCAGGCCCGTCCCAAGCCTTGCTTCTACCCATGCCTTCAAGAAAGAGGTCGCTGCCAAATGCCAAGAGTCCTTAATTGAAGCTTCCAGTATACAAGGCCGGAGTAGTGAGAGGCTAGTCAAAGACGACCTGAGCTTTTGCCTAGTAGCTTCTAGCTACTAGTAGCTTCTTG